GATAGGCTAACCTTTAAAAATGAATGTTTGTGTTGTCATTTAGTATTTTAAAATGATTAAAAGATATGCTTTAATCAGACTTGTTTTTGTATTGTCTTTTTTGTTTGTTTGTTTTTTGTTTTGTGCGTGTGTGTGTGTGCGTGCGTGCGTGCGTGCGTGCGTGTGTGTGTGTGTGTAAAAAAGGTTTTGTTTTTGTTTTGTTTTGTTCACAGTGACAAGAAAATGAATTTAATTCCTGACAGGAAAAAGGAAATAAAACTTTTAACAGGATTATAACCAGGATGGAAAGAAGATATACAGTTAGCCATTGGTCTGTAATGAATTTAGAGTAATTTTACATAAGGAGGTCGATTTGAAACTAATTATGTATTTTTAACCATCTTTTGAAATGTTAATGTCAAGCAGATGACTGTAATTTCATTTTAAAACAGGATGAAATGTTTTACGTTGAGACAACCCAATTAAATAGTACATCACAGGTTTTATTAAATCCATAAATCCAAAAAATACTTACACATATTGTTTTCTCAATAAAAATTGTTAAGTTGTTAAAAAATAAAGTTAAGTAATATGAATTACATATTTAAAATGCGTATGGTTAATATTTTATCCAATATATTAAAAATGCATAATGGAGAATGAATATGGGGACAGCGAATAACACACATGCTGGGAAGAAGGGTTTGTTTTGGATTTCATCATTGGTGCTACTTCAACCTCATTCACAATCAAATAAATAGTCTATAGCACCTATTTGTGAAAATATATCATACCATGACACATCTGATCTGTTTTTCACAACAGTCCCTGCATTTTGACAAAATGTGCATGAAGGAGCAACAGTGACATCAGGTGGCCATACAAGGCAAAACATCTGTATCCAAAACACACAATTGGTACTTGACATCATAACTAAGATCAGGCCCATTGCCTTGAGAAAAAAAAAAAAAAACATGTTTTTTTTTATGTAGTCAGAAGCCATCAGTGTACAAGTGTTTTAAAGCACCCTAATACACAGATCTGGTGAACCTATAATGTAACCAATACTTTTAAAATAAGAACCATAGTCAACTCCAAAGCCCTATACAGTAAAAATGGTTTTAATCTTAAGGTGCTGCACTGAAAAACCTTAATAGAGTACACCTGGCAGTGAAAAAACACAGTATAACATGCCTGTTTTCCTCAAGGTACATCAAAGAATATCATTTATTTATTTATTAATTCATTCATTCGTTGTTTGTTTGTTTGTGGTTGTTTTGTTTTGTTTACAGTGGCAACAGAATTCCTAAGGTTGAATGTAGCATGAAAATACAACAATTAAAAATAAAAATTAATGTTTGTGTCAACATTTAAAGAAGATTTTAAAAAATATATATATAATAATAATAATAATCATAATCATAATCCTCATCATCATCATATACTGTAGCTGTTCACAGTGGCAAACAAATGAATAGAGAAACATAACATATAACTATAAAAATATAACTAATTAAAATTAAAACAGAAAATGTAAAAATATAATCTAATTCAAAATATTAACAAAAACCATAATAGCATGTCAATGATACTAAAATAAAACTGTAACATACCATGGTACTTTGTTAGTTTACTTGTTTACTGTACACAAAAGCAAACCTAGTGAACTCCATAGTGTAATTTTCAATACGATTTTAGAGTCTCAGGTGCAAATAAAGCATTATGAAGGATTGCACAATATATAGAACAAGATGTAAGCTTATAAGCACTTTCTTTACACCTGAGACTCCAAAATCTTGTTAAACATTTGCATTTATCCAAAGCTTGTAGCCTACAGCAGTAGAGGCCTGCAGGCTGAAGCAGACTGTTCAAACTAGCAGAGCCATAATGTGATCTTCATCTGATGATGCCTCCGTACAGCTCACACCAGCCTCCCTCGCTCCCTTTAATCCAGAGAAACATCTCTCATAGTCTCAAAGCAATAAAGATTTCTGTTTTAATAAGGCACATCGGCACACATCGTGAAGACTCTTTAGACATTAGGGGCGGAAATAGCACATTAAATAAGGGTTTCATCGATTGCATCATTTTTATTATGGACCGCAAAAAAGATCTTCTTTCGAGAATAAAATGCTAGTTAGTTGCCATCCCGCACGGCTTTATTCCCAGTGTCTGCGTAAATCATCTCAATGAAGCAGATATTTCTTTGGCATGAACAGCAGCCATTGGAGACGTTTTTGAATGTTTGCACACGGCAGTAAAAAGAAAATGATGTGTCTCGCTGTGCTAAGGGTGGATGGAGAGGAACATGATTAAATCAGATTTATAGACAAATCCAGCCGTCCCACTGAGGGATTTGAAAGCATCCTACTGAGGGGACATTTACAGGACCATTTTAACTGGATACATCCGTACTCTCATGGCAAATTGAGGTGCAATTCGGTCGAGGTGCAAAATGGCAAAATTTCACTCAGTTTTGTCAATTAAATTCAATCTGTCTGGACAACCGAAGTAAGTGGTAAACAAAACTGCTTGGATACCAGCATACTTCAAATATCTTATTTTCTTTCTTTAGAATAAAGTCATACAGGTTTGTAATGACATGAGGCTAACTGAGTAAACCATGACACAATTTTTTAATTTTTTATGAAGGAAAAGGTGCTGAAAATGTATCACCCTCAGGCCATCCAAGATGTAGATGGGTTTGTATCTTCTTAGGAACAGATTTGGAGACATTTAGCATTACATCACTTGCTCACCAATGGATCCTCTGCAGTGAATGGGTGCCGTCACAATGAGAGTCCAAACAGCTGATAAAAACATCACAATAATCCACAATTAATACATAAAATGGTATTAATGATGGATTTATTTCTTACAAACATGCAGCTTTTCCTATAAGACCCAATACTGTATCCATGGAAGCGCATCTAATGCAAAGACGTTTTTATTAAACATAGCAATACATTCTGTGCAAAAATACTTTTTTAAAACAGATTCTTTCTTTTACTTTCCCTCTCCTGCCACATTCTCTCTGGATGTGTTAGTGAATGATAAACGTACCTTCTTCAAGCTCTTAATGAGATCCTTTGGGAGTCTAGAATAGCAGAAAACTCTTCCTCACTAAAGATCTATTTTGTTAAAGTGATCATGTTTAATTCGTCATTCCTAAAGCAATTCGATGGCAACTAATTAAATCTTATGGGGAAATCCTGTTGAAACAAAAATCAGAATCGTGGTGATTATTATATGTGGATACATAGCACTGGGTTTATTTAGTATTTATTCCATGTAGTAATTGTGAAAATATTTAAGGAGAGCCTTTCTTAGCTGTTTTGTCACACATAATGGCTCACAAAGAGAAGTTGCTTAAGCAGAATGCATTAAGCAATACAGAACTGAAAGCATGAGGGGGTTTTGGAAACGGAAATAGCCCTAACTGTCAGTGCATTTCATTTAAAAGATATTGTTTTAAGAGAACATTTTAAATGTTTGGGTTTTTTTTTTACCCCAATGCATTTTTTATTTATTTAACAATATAGTAATATTAAAAAAATAAATAATAAATAAATAAAAAAAAACAATGTTCCAGTGAGTTAAAAATTGATTTAATTCAAGATAAATAGGTTTAATTTTCTAAAACAATTTTGTATATTATATTACTATTGTTATGTTATGTTTCTTGACCCATTGGTGTATTTTTTAACTCATAAAACAAAATGTAGAGAGATTTAAGCTTAAAAACTATTGAATTTTATATATATTGAAAATTGCAAGCCTATAGTCTACTTCAAAAACTTTGCAACCAGTAAAATAATAATAATAATAATAATAATAATAATGCAAACATGATCCAAATAATGTCAGGCACTTTAAAATCCTAAAAAAGAAAATGAACACAACTTCACAACTCTAACCCTAACCCTAAGTTTTGTTCTGAATGTTGCACAAAGATGGCAATATCCAACTTCCTTGTCCTTGTGAGGACACTTTTTGGTCCCCATGAAGAAACAAGCATATAAGTCATACAAAATGAAGTTGTAAATGTTCATACAAAATGTGTGTAGTCAGGGTAACTGATGATGAGGAGAGTCAGACCTCTGGTGGTTGTGTGTGGGACTGCTGGTCATAAAGAGACCCTGGGAGGTCTATTAAGGCACCTTTCATTCATATACATAATCCATGTAGCTGTAATAGAGACTGACTGTGTTGGTTTATGTGTGTGTGTGGAGGTGTGTGAATATGTTTACTGTAGATCTTGACATTCAAGCTGACATTTGGGGAATTTTTATTTTCAGTGACATTTCCTGAAAGACGTGGTGAGGGTATATATTGTGAATCTGAGCGCATGGATTCTCAACATTTACATCACTGACAAAATGATCACTGCAATAGTCACACTTGTGAAACGTGCAAAGCCATCCATATTTTTCTGCTATAATGTATAAACTTTTAACATCTAACACTCACATAAAGGAATAGTTAAACTTTTGCTGAAAATGTATCACCCTCAGGCCATCCAAGATCAGATTTGGAGAAATGTAGCATTACATCACTTGCTCACCAATGGATGGATGCAGTGAATGGGTGCCGTCAAAATGAGAGTCCAACAATTAATGCCTTACGAAGTTAAAAGCTGCATGTTTGTAAGAAGAAAAAAAAACATCATTAAGACTTTTCATGGATTACTTGTGGATTGTTGCAATGCTTTTGTCAGCTGGTTGGACACTCGTTCTGACGGCACCCATTCACATTATTTTAATATTGGTCGGTTCATCACTGGTAAAAAATATAAGTTCAGTGGTCTAATCTTCTGACAGCATTGTTGCACAACAATAGTTTTGTAAGACTAGGGAAGCATAAGTTAGTTTTAAAGAAGCATAATATTAGTTTTTGCTGATGCTAAAAAATGTCAGATGACAAACAATTTCTCAACTTCATCATGTGACCAACTAACTCAACCAATCACAGCCCAAAATCTGTGTGACTTCTTACCATGGGCTTTACATTTGAGTCCCTTCATCTCTCTGAACTCGTACTTCACCATGGCCAAGCACTGGATAGCGGTTCTCCTCACACTTCTGTCTCTCACCAGAGCAGGCGTCTGTGAGACCCTCCCTGGCTCCTGCAGGATCGTGTGTGACCCCTCCTCAGATCGTTCTAAAGACCAGAGCAATGGCTTTGTCATCCCTCTCACCTCATCTGCAGCAGGACCTCCTGGTCCACCTGGACCTCCAGGTAAAGCAGGTCCTCCTGGCCCAGCCGGACCCTCAGGTATAGGCTCGTCGAGTAAGGGAGGTGTCGCATTCAGTGCTGCACTGCAGGACGCCTTCAGCAAGAATGATGTGATAAAGTTTAACGACATGATTACTAATCTGGGAGGAGGTTATGACTCCTCGACCGGGACTTTCACCTGTAAGACAGCAGGAGTGTACTACTTCATCTTTAGCATTGTGAAGACCGGCCAAAACCTACGAGTGGACTTGGTTCTTAATGACCAAACGGTGAGTTTACCTCAAGTAAAGTAATTTTTTTGCAAGGATTTTCAAACAAAGTCATCTAAGTATGATAAAAATGTAAGCCTTATAAAAGCTGCTCTATATTTTTGTATGCATAAAAAGACCCGTTTATAATTTAAGATATATATATACAGTTTCCAT